AATCTGAAACTTTTTTTTAATTCCAAAGGGCGATTGATTTTTTTATTAATAAAAATATATGATTAAACTAATTAAATAATTATAATTAATATATTCTGAATTAAAATATAAATAAGACAATTATGATCTATATATAATATTTAAATTGAATACTTTAATTTGAATCAACTAACTGATCACAACTAAAATTAAGATTGAAGATTCTTTCTATTTTTGTTTCATCAAAGTTTTTTTTAAATAAAAATAAATTATTATACTATTTTATAATATTTAGTGACATCGATAAACTTTGTGTTTTCATATATTTTATTTAAATAAAAAATAAAATATAAAATAAATGATAAATAATCAAAAGTATAAAATTAAATAAGTAATTATTTATTGTTACAAAGTAAGACTCATAGTTACTTTGTGATAAAAGGATACCAACGTGTAAATACTAAATTTTAAGTTAATATCATTTTTTGAGATGAAGAAATGGAATAATTAAAAGATATGACTATAATATTATTAGTAAAATTGACTATTGCAAATTACAACTCTATAACCCTTTTATATATTTATAAATTAAGATAATTATAATAATAATTATTATATTTTAATAGTATATATTAATCGATATATATTTACAAAAATATAATTTTTGCCTAAATTCCACACAAAAAATTATATTATTTTTAATTCATAAGATATATATACTATAGTAACTAAGATTACTACAATTACAATGAATATATATTTTCATCAAATCAATCAATTTAATAGATAAATTTGCATATATTTTAATTTTATATAATATAACAATCTATTTGTTGAATACTATGAAATAATTTACTAAAAATAGTATGAAATAAAATTTATAATTATGATAATCGAGTATAAGTGAGTAAAATAATGCATAAAATAATTATTTAATAAATATTAATATATTTAAATTCTGGAACTACACAATTAATTACATGATTAAAACATTAAAATATGAGAAGAGATCCAATTACTTCAAAAGAGTAAGTCTACATAAAGTTGATTTACTTAATAATTCATATTCTACATCAAATTTTAATGATATAACTGTTAAATTAAAATTTTTTAACATATAAATTAAGTTTGTAAAGTCTTAAAGAATTTAAAAACTATTTAATACCCCATTTTATTAATTCAAGTATACATAGAATCATAAAAGCTTTTTATACATTGATTTGAATTAATAAAAAAAAAGTATCAAATAGTTTTCAAATTTTTTAAAACTTTGTAGACTTGATATATGTATTAAAAAGTTTTAATTCAATGGCTAGATTGTTAAAATATGATGTAGAATATGATATTGAGCCAAATAAGTCAAGATAGAGTTATTCTTGGAGTAAGTTGATTTCTCTTTATAAAATATATAGTTATATTAATTAAATTATCTTAATTAATATATATTCTGAATTAAAATGATTGAGGTAAATTAGATCAACAATTTTTATTCAAGTTCAAGGTAAGAACTATTTAAGATCATACAATTAATTACATGAAATTGAAAAACATATTTGTTACATGTAATTTATACTATTAATAAAGAAAATATGCTTTTTTCCTATATATATATATATTATATTAATTGTTCTATCTCTTAATTTTCGAACACTATTTCTCTCTCATACTTTTTTTAATTTCATTTTTTTTTCTCCATTTCTCCATAATTTTACTTTTTAAACTTCTCACACTCCCTAACTAAATCAATGTTATCATACTCAAAAACTAACAAAATATCAAAACAAGAAATTGACAAATTTCGATGTCACATTTTATCAAAGTTCAACCTTTTATCATAAAATCAAACTTAAGCCTCATCTCTGACATCATTATCACGATGATCCTCACTTGTAAAACACAAAAGGTGAAAGAAAAGAAAATGAGAAACATCTCCCTTTGACCACTAGCTAGTGTGAGATATGGTGAGATACACAACAACATCATAACATATATCACTATATTTGTCAATTTGGACTCGGTTTGATCGCCTAGCTATTTTGACATAGCCCACTAAGCCCGATAGGCCAAATGAGCCTAGGTTCGACTAACTAGCAAGTTTACAAGTTGACCCGTTAAAATAATAAATGAAACAATTTAAATGATCACCATTGTCAATCTATAAATATGTAATGTATTATAAAATAATATAATAAAGCAATATATAATAATAGAAGTATTTTTCTACTCGTTTGTATTCACTTACAATGTTGTGCCTACAAATTTAGAGTTAGGATTAATCGTTGTGAGAGTTTTTCCACTCCAATTTCAAATACTAATTATCATTTAAGACGCCATATTATTAAATATATTAGATCTCTTAAGTATCAAGATGTTAAGGTTATGTTGGATACAAAGCTAGTTTATTAAAACAATGAAAAATTGATCCTATTAATATAAAGATGCACTTGCTAGGTGTATTATCATGCATGATCTTCTATATAGTTATGCTGAATTTGAAGGGTTTGAATAGTGAATAAAGTGTTAAACATTGATTTTAAACTCGATTATAGAAACATTGCAATAAAGTGCTTTTAACTAAATAGGAAAAGCTAAAAAATGTGTTAATTACTATTCCAGATAAAATACGTTTAACTTTTAATGCATGGACATTTGTAACTATCTAAGGTTATATGATTGTGAATGGTTGATTGCTCATCTATAACTATATAGTATATAGTATCAATTAATCATGTTATATTTTTTTTATTAATTGTAAAAATAAATTTAATTTTTTTAATATATTTTTTAATTAGGTCAATCTGGCCTTATGACCTAACATGGGTTAGATTGGGTCAAAAAATAATGGTCTAAAAAAAATATAGATCAGACCAATTTAACCTAAAATAACATTTGATCCGTGTAGGTTAAGCTAGGGTAGGCTAGCCCAACCTATTTGACAACTCTATAAATCACTAACAATCTTAAACAACATTTACATCATGGAATATATATATA